TATAACATAATTATGAAAAAAGATTTAAAAAAAAAAAAAGAAAATGAACAAAAATAAGGAGAAAAATAATTAATTTATAATAATAATAAATCAAAAAAAAGAAAAATACAAACCGACAAATATCCCCATCGTGAAATATATTCGGATGATGGTGAGCAGCATTAAGTCCGATAAAATTGAATACAATGCTACTTATAAAAATGATTATTAACCAAGTTTTAATAGAGATTAATATATTTGGCGCAAAAAATGACATTACAATTGGAAGAAGTAATGGTACTGCATCTCTGAATTCAAAAGTTTTATATTCCCATATTACCGAATAATACCTTAAACAAAGAAAAAACAAATGATAACAATTAGAAAAAAAAAAGTTAGGTTAATCATTAAATATATATATATATATATATTTCAATTACCTTTTAATACCTTGAAAAATGAATGACAAAGTGTAAACTATTGGTGTGTAAATATATCCTAAAAATATTTTCAACGTATTCTTGTTTTTATTCGGTAACCAATTAAGTATAGGTTCAAAAACATAAATTTCATAATCCCAAATAGTATTTGGATAAAGATGATGACTCATGGCGTGCGTGATTCGCCAATCTTTAGATGACATCAAACTAATATCGAAATAATACATACGAAAATTATCTCTCATATGAAAATAATTATGACCTATGATTGTAGTCCATGCGAGAAATAACCCTAAAAAATAATACGTGATAAATTATTTTAGAAAAAATCATATTTATACACACATAACCTCCAAAACAAGTTCTATATATTAAATATGCATTCCTGAGATGTACAGGATGTTTCAGGTTTTCTTGTTTATTTTTCTTTTTTTTAAATATTTTTTCACCACGTCCTTGGGGATGCTCATTATACTAATTGAAATGAGGAAAAATGTGTCTCAATATATTTCATGAGTCATTCGGTACGATTGTTGCTTCAATTAGTGCAGGTCAATGGGATCAAGAAAATGATGCATCAAAATGTTAAGAATTTTGTCCAATGATGATACTCCGTTACGTATACTAGTTTAATGATAAAAACTTTTGAATAATTATAAAAGAATATTCATCGTGTGTGTGTGTAAACAATTTACATCATAGTTATAATAATAAACAAATTAATAAAGAAAACTTTGTAGGTTACTTTTGTCTTTATTTTAATTTATACAAAATAAAATTTGATTGGAAATGAAAAATACAAACAAAAAAACCTGAAACAATGTGTTGAAACACGGAAAAATTTATTTTTTTGTTGTTACCAGCAAGAATCGTCAAGATTAATCCCCAAGATGATTGAAAATAAACAGAAGCCAAGCATAATGTGACTGTAATAGTAAAGAAAGTATCAGCAATGAGATTAGAATTCAATGAGGGTCGATGAAAATCAACATTTTTGAGAGCCTCCAATGCACGTTTCTTAAAAGTACGATAAAAACCATTAGGTTCAAAGGTTAATGGTATTGTTCTGGGCACCGTTGCATCACGAATATAAAATTTGGGTAAAATTCTTTCTGCTTTATCGGTTAGATGATGTGCCTAAAAATAAATAATAATTATTATATTATCGATTGTGATCTGCCGTAAAAAAAAAACAAACAAAAATCGGAAACTGCGATGCACGTTAAATGAAGTATCAAATTCATTTAATTATTATAAAAACATTGAAAACAATAAATAAGATTAATATATATATAATTAAAGAAGAAAATTATTTATATTTAATTTGATAATAATTTATAATTGTTAATTTATTCGAATATCATTAATTTCAACAATTATTTCTACAAAATGAAATACTTACGTACAGAATTAAAACATGATAATTCAACTCAGTCGGTAAAAACAACAAATAAGATTAATGTATATATATATATATAATTAAAGTAGAAAATTATTTATATTTAATTTGATAATAATTTATAATTGTTAATTTATTTGAATATCATTAATTTCCACAATTATTTCTACAAAATGAAATACTTACGTACAGAATTAAAACATGATAATTCAACTCAGTCGGTAAG